GCTACGTTTGCTTCATTGCAGAAGGCCCCAGAGGGCCCTGTGCAGCCTGGGTTCAATGGTATCACTTCCAAACAGATTATAGCTAAATATGGAACTTAAATAGCTTTCCTATTGTTTATCCCAGATGTAGCGATACCAAAGCTGTTTCTTGGTATGCACAGATCCTTTATCTTCCTTTCTATCTTAGGTGTTTATCTTTGTCACACCCGAGCTATCTCTTTATCCCAGGAGCCTTCCCAAAGTTCTTAAGTATAAATTATCTTAGGTAATATTTTATTTGAAAATCCAGTAGGCCCTCGACCACCGTTTGCTTTCGATAGGAGGTCCTGAAAACCAGCCTGTGCTCTGAGAATTATTACGATGGTCCTAAAGAAGCTGAGATCACTCGTTTAAGAACTTGAGAGCAGAATCCCAAGAACATTGAAGTCGCTCCTTTTCACATTAAGTGTCTGCTTGCAGGAAGGTGTTTCTTAAGCTTGAATAACACATTTTCTTCAAGCCTTCTCAACCCCCCTAACAAATGGTTCACCAAACAGATATGAAGAGGGAACACAATAAATTTTGCTAAATGCTATATTTGCATAGGCATTTCTGAAACTCTTAAAATAATGTTAAGCAGATATACATTTAGCTTTTAACTGTAGTATGTAGGCTGGAGTTATTATAGGGGGACAAAAAAAAAAAAAAAGAATCTAAGAAGAGTTTAAGGGCCCAAAGCATATTTTGCTTCAACCAATACAAATTCAAATATGTGAGGCCTAGGATGGTTTAACCTCATTTTATCAGCAGGATTATCTGTTTTTGGTTCTTTCTTGATCTAACTCTTTTTTTTTTTCTCCAGCCTGTTCACCTACTCCTTCTTGTATGCCAAAAACTGTATTAAACCTAGCTAAAGTCAACATTACAGCAAAGCTGCCATGTTTCATTTTAGCCAACTGTGGGATCTCCCTTCAAAGCTAAAATTCTCAAAAGAAGGGTCTACATTTCCTGTTTTGCGGTGCATTCCTTCAGTCTTTGAAACAGAGGTCTGCCCTACCACGCCACTTAAATATCAC